CTTTTATACTCCTTACGGTAGTGATTTTTGCATCCATGTTTATGCATCCATGTTATAACTTGACATTTAAAAAAAAAGAAAATTTTTCCATTTAAAAAAAGATAGTTTTATTTTAAATAGAAAACAATCGTTAAGTTTGGTATATAGACACTTTGCTTTTTGACATATTTTATAAAACACCTGACGTGCCTGTTTGATTTTTCTTCACTTTTTTGATGCTTAATAAGAGCAGTGGGCTTCACGCTGCCCTGCAAGGATTTATACCTGGGTTTGAATGACAAAGCAATTCTAAAGCACATATCAAGGTGCTCATTTTGAGCCTGGATCCATATTTATTTTGATTCTGTTTATTGTGGGGAATCCTGCTTCACAGCAGGAAGTTGAGCCAAACAGCCAAAATGTGCAGGGTCATCTTCGAGCACTCCATTTCACTTTTCTGTCACCAGTTCACCACAGTTCTTTCAGCAGTCCAAACTTTCTTCCACCTTTTTCTCATCGTCTTCTACTTCTTTCCCACCACCCGGCTTGCCACAGGTTTTCCTGTGTCTAAAAGTAGCTAGCAGCAGCAACCCAGACTGAAACAGCTTATTGGCTAATTTGTATAATGTGCAGCCTGGTCCTGGACACTCCGGAGGGCTTTACCGTAGAAACAGGAGAAGCGCCGCAAGTGAAATTAGACACTGTCTTCGGACAACATGCTGTAATTTATAAATGTTTTAAATCAGGTTGGGTCTGGATTAGCCAGCAGGTGGGTCCAGATCCGGACCGCAGTCCGCTTATCCATGACCTCTGGTATAGAGTATGCATCGTATAGAGGATGCATCCTCTTTTAAGCAAATACAGTAAAACAGTTTCTGAACAATACTGACCTAAAACTGAGTTTAACAACTTTCTTGGAAAAGAAGTCATCAAGACCCTCATCCAGCTTTCCTATGGAGCTGTTCTGCTCAGCATCAGGTGGTACTGGGCTTCTGGTGGTCTGTCGCTAACAGAGAAGGAGGACAGAAAGTTGAATAAAAGCAAAAAATGAAATCGCCTTAAAAAGCTCTAGCAGTGACAACTACCATCAGGAAAAAAGGTAGTGATTATAGTTTAACCACTATTTTCATACATGTTACATATTCAATTGACTAATTAACAGCTGAATGTAGAAATTCTATTCCAACTTTAAGAAGACCCATAATTTTTTTACGTTTTTCTCACAGTCTGGCATTAAATGAGGCTAAATGTTCTGGTTTAAGTCAGTTTGGATGACCAAAATAAATTAGAGTTGCCAAATGACAAAATGATGAGAAAGTAAACATACTGGAGGTCTGCTGGGTCTCGCTCTCTGTTTCGGTCTGGGTCGGGATTTGGTACGATGTTCCAACGTTTTCAGCTCCAGCTGTGGCAGCTCTCCCAAACACTCAGACTTCCCCTCTGATGGAGTAGGAGGTGGAGGTAGATCTTCGTAATATGACAACCCGTCGGATGCTTGGGGAGGAGGAGACGGGAGAGGTGGGTCCTCAACGTGGATTGGAACTTCCTCCAAAGCTTTGTCCAAGTCAAACTCCATCTCTAGAGGGCAAACAGAAGAGCAACGGTTAAGACCCACTGCTGTATCCTTCAACCAATCAGGCAGCTTATAATCAAAAGCTAATGCAACAGACATACAGCATGTAGCCCATCTCATAGCAAGGACATCAGACAGGTACAGAGTTTAGAGTCAGCTCATAATAGCTCTACATGAGGTAAAAGCCCTTAAACAGGTCTGATCTTTACATCTTTTATTCCTCTGCTGGTTTACTTAGTTTGTCAATTCGAACAGAAACATGCAGAACGCGGCTAAAACATATTCAGAGGGTTTGTTTCAACAAAAGGTTAAGAAGAGCACTCCAAGATGGAAGCCATTTTTAACGAGCCAATCAAACTCTTCTATTCTGATTATTTGTCCCTTTCATAACATTCAAACTATATTTTTTTCTGGTTTAAACATCATATAAGAGCATAGGGATCATAGTTATCATAAAGGATTGAATTCGACTCAATGAGTCGATGCAATCAATTGGTTTTCCTTAGGTAGAAAACTTTGAATCGATTTGACTGTTTGATCTGGTGAACTGAAAAGTGCCTTGAGATGAGATGTTTTGTGAATTGGCGCTATATAAATAAAATGAATTGAATAATAATCACTTACCGAATGCCACAGAAACAGGCCGCAGCATTCTGACAAGGATGCTCTTCCTCTTGGATTTAGGCGTCATCTATGGAGCAAGAAATAAACATTTATTTGTATTCTTTTATTATTTATGGCTCAATTTCTTATGAAGTATTTCTGAGTTTTCACCATGCAGGTGTCCACATCTTTCAGTCCATTTTTCTTGTCTCGGTCGGACTTGTGGTCATGGTTCTCTGGCTGTAGAACTGTCTCATCTAGAACTTCCGCCTCTAACTGGGGTTCTTGGTGGAACAATGGATGGTCCTTTCTGATCAGGTGGTCGGCCTGGAGACGGATTGAGTGAGTTCAAAATGATTAATAAGGAAAGAGACGAAGGAAAAAAAGGGTTGACAGAGGGAAGGAGATGACACTGACCAGTGTATGTTGGGATCTAGATAGAGACTCCAGGATCTCATCAACGATGCGATCAGACAGAAAGGACGCCACACCAAGTTTTACTTCACTGTTTAAAAGAAACAATATAGCAAATCTAAATTAAATTTAAAGCAGGACAGAAAAAAGGTATCTGAAAAAGAATGAAACTTATAGCAACAAAGAAAAACAATAATATGATTTTTAGTCTGTTTTGTTATCAATTCTCAAATCTGACTCATAAATTTATATTTAAATCAGTTTATTTATATGCTAATGAGTGAAGAAGCATGAATTTGAAGTTCTTGTTTTAAATTTAAATGACCCTCATTTTATAGGGAAACAGTGGATTTTGTCACGTTATAATTAATTATTGGACACAGATATGAATATGTTAATAATGTATTTGGTACTAAAATTCCCCTTAAATGTGAAACACTGTATTTGGGTGATGTTCCTGTGACAAATTGGAATAACAATGATAAAAGATTACTTGGTATGTTACTTGTTGCAAGCAAAAAGGCCATCACAAGAAAATGGCTGAGAGTGGAACCTCCAACTATTGAGAATTGGATCAATATAATACACGAAATATATGTCATGGAAAAGCTGTCTTTTTCCCTCAGGATGCAAAAGGACATGTTTTACAAAATCTGGACTAAATGGACTGAGTACATAAAACCCTTAAGGTCAGATTTTGTATGAATGATACGTTTCTGTCATTAAAACCTTGTCTTGCGAATATTGGCATACTTCCCATATATGTTTATATCTTGATACTGTGAAGGAGTTTAAAAATAAAAACAGTGGATTTCAAAGACACCAATACATGTGAAATATTAGTCAAGGTTAATGAAAAGGTTGTAGAATAAAATGCCACAAAATATTTCAAAGTAATAAATGGTTGAAATATTGAAAATGTCTTCATCGTGGTTAATAAACTTGACCCAGGGAGAGGTAATAAAAAGCTGAAATTATTTTGGAATATCAAAGAGGAAACCAGACCGGATTTATTTTCTGCAAACAAAACAAAAAAAATCCAAAACATCACAGAAACCAACATCATGTCATTAACATTTAAAGCCCAAACAGGTCTTAAACCGTGATGTTTGGTTCCATTACACACATGCTAATTATATATAATAAGTATATATATATAATAAGTTAATCTGATCAAACGGTGAAGATGCAGCCCAGCAGACCTGATTTTGTTGATGATGTCCACGCCGGACTGTTCCAGAAGCGTGTTGGTGACAAAGCTGCAAGGTATGGTCATCCTCCCTGTAGCAGCCTTAAGCAGCTCCTGACGAAGGCCGCTCCTTTTCATCACATGAGGACAAAGCCCTTCTGCAGCATCAACCATAGACACCAGCATGGTCTGCAGAACAACAGTTGATATAGATTACATTCTGACTCACAGTATTCCAATCAGAGCTCATCCTACTGCAGCTGGTCCTACATGCAGTTGCTCGTCCATCACGGTTGCCACCTCTCCAGCCATCGACTCCAGTTTATCCTGAATGGCTGTGACAAATGTAACTTTGGAACCTCTAGTTTTCAAATGGTACAGGTTGGGGAGCAGCTGGAACAAAATAAAGTAGAAAAATAATAGTTTTACAGCCTCTATTTGAATTTCTTTCACATTAATATTTCATGGCATCAGCTTGCTAAGAGCAGTCTGGTTATAATCCGTGTGTTCTCACAGTTTTGGAGTTCTTTGCATCCTTCATGAGGTTCTCTGCCTGCTTCATGTCATCTTGAACAGGGCTGGCCTCTGAGAACCTCAGAGAATTCAGATGATCCTGGACTCGCACACACATCATGTCCATCATCTGCATTACAAACAATTTACAGAATCATTATTTAGTCCAGAGTCAATGATCTGTTCAGTTAGTGTATCTTTACTGCCGCAGTTACCTGCTGTGTGGTGGTGGTGACTATTCCCTGCTGCAGCCTGTAGGCCTGTTCCTGCAGGTATTTACGCGTCTCATGGTTCCTCAGCAGGTACTGCTCCATCTGCAGAAAAATTTTACACCCTTTGCTTTAGATTTGAGAACTTTAAAAAACGTAAAGAGATAAAACAACAGGAACCTTTAGTAAAGCATCTTCTGTCTTATCTGGATTGGCCTTCAGTGCCTGAGCAGCATCCATGATAGGAACAGGCATGAATCGAATAGTGTAGTTCCTTTGATAAAGAGAGCATAGGGTTAAAAGAAAAAACCTTTGAACACTCTGAAAGCTGTAAATTTAACATTTTAACACTTACTTCTCCAAAGCAGCAGCTACGTCCTGTAAACCCTGGGGGCTAATGTTGTTTCTGTCCCACAATAAGGTCCTAAAGAGACAAACAAAACCAAACAGATTGAATTGACCCAGAAAACTGTTCTGGAATGAGTAAATGTTAAGATTCTACCCCTTATCTAAATAAACTTTAAATATTCTAAAATGTATGTGTTATTTTACCTAGAAACTTGACTTTATGAAGAATTTGTGTTTAGAAAATGTCATCAGGATCCCCGCTCACCTCAGCTTGGTGTTGATCTGCAGAGCTTTGGCCAGTATCTTGGCCCCCATGTCTCCCATGGAGTTTCCACTGATGTCCAGCTTGATCAGAGAGGTGTTGCTGCCGAGTGCGTTTAGCACGATGGAGAGGTCAGCCTTTAGCTTGGAATCAGCCAGGGACAGCGAATTTAAAGGCTAAAGAAAATTAGAAAAAGGTATAAAAATAAATTCCATCAACAGGACTTTGTCTCTATGATGGAAAATCATCACTCACTGACTCTTCCTCTTGAATCATGTAAACCAGATTATCCAGGACCTGAGCAACATTTCTGTGGAAACAGAATAAGGCATGAATTATCTGAGGGGAGGTAAATGGCGAATAGCCTGGACTAATATCAGTGTTTGGAAGTCACCTACTTAGATTTGATATTGTTGAAGTTTTTGCCCAATGAAAGGTGCCTGATGGAGCGGTTTTTGGCCAGCCACACCAGAAGGGTGGTGAGATCCATGTCCAAACCTGAGCGCATAAAATAGGAACATGGACTAAAACCTAAAAAAAACACAGAAATGGAAGGGAAGGGAAAATATCCTTACCGTTGTCTGAAATATCCAGACTGGAAATGTTGGGGATCTCTGCGATGCAGCCTTCTAAAATCTGGGATCCTCCTGAACGCAGCTGGAAGGAAATTAATGCTGTATTTAGTCAAACTTCTCTTAATCCTTATTTTTGCGGGAATTTACTCAGTGATAAAGGTGCACTGTGCTAATTTAAAGTTATAATCATTATCTTTTCAAAACATACCCTTTATATTATACAATGAGTTTTCTTCTATTAACCAAAGTTGCCTCTATAGGCTTTATTAGTCAGTTCATGACAGAGGGATCGGGGTTGGATTCTCTGCGTGTGATCGTGGGTGGGCAGCTTTCAACAAGGAGGGAGCTTGGTTCTGCCCTGAGAGGGAAAAGGGGCCCCCAGTTGGCCCTCTGTTTGCTATAAAGGTATGATAACTTCTGTATTTTCAACTTTCTAACTAAGAAGACATTATGCCTCTAAGCCAAAGTCCTGTGAAGTCGCATTGGCCGACTGCAAATATTTTCCTCCTCTATGTCAGCTTTTAAACAGTGGTGACACACTGCAAAAATCTAGTTTAATTCTAATTTAAGTTTTTATTCTTTTTTTTTTTCTAGATTGCTTTAAAATTAAGTGTATTTACCCTTAATTTAAGCAGATAAATAAAATGATTAGCCAATGGAATTAGTATTTTCACTCTTAATTAATTAGATAATATGCACTTGAAATAAGACAATGCAATTGTTTTTTTTCTTAATTTAAATGTAAATTGTCTTGTTCAATTGGCAAAGTGTCTCGCTTACCTCCTCAATTCAAGACAAGATGCACTCATTTCAAGAAAAAATTACTTATTTCAATTTTTTGCAAGAGTCTGGAAAAATTTTGAAACCTGCATTTTGCTCCTTTAAGGCTGTTAGTGTTGAGATCAGCGGTGGACTTACATCACAGCTGCTGAGATCCAGAGAAACATCACTGAGGTTTGGGTTGCAACCAAGGCCCAACAACAGCGACCTACAGGCAAAGCAAACGAGTCATGTGAGTTTTAAGTACCGTATAACAAATAAACAACGATCATTAATATATCCCATAAGATTATAAAAACCCTCTTCAAGTAGGATGAATGTTTTAGATCATTACTGCAAAAAATACAAAGTACCTTTAATTTCAGAATCTGAACTTGATGGAGTGAAAGTTTTAAATTAAATCTTTTAAGTAGAAATAAAAACATGTATATATTCATCAGTGTATTCGGGATCATATTTTTAAACTGGCAACTCTCCTTCATAGAGCTCCTCTTTTTGATCCCCGTGTGAATTTAAATCTTAGAAAATGTTCCTGAACTTCTCCTGTCACCCAGAGTCTTGACATATTAATACAAGAAAATTTATAGAAGCAACTTAAATTTGGTTTTCAACAACAAATTTACTAAATAAATTAGAATTCAGTTTATTTTTGCCCTCCTTAGTTGCAGAAAAACACTGAGGAAGGGGAAAATTGGAAAAATCAAACCTAAAAGCTGCATTTTCTCAGCCAAGGATCTATAAATACAAACAATGCCAAATATCTGTTGTTCTAAATCAAAGTAAAAACACTCAGTTTGTCTTCCAACATGCTTTATACACTGCATTGGAAACATCTGGCATTCCTTTAACTTACAGACAATGACATTAGATATTCCCTGCATATTAGTCAAATTTGTTATTTAGCTCAGCTTGAAGAATTCAAACCCATTATAGCGGATCTTACTTCAGAGCCTCCAGTGGCAGCCTGGTTCCTGACAGACTCACAGAAGTCAGAGACTGAGCGCTGCTGAAAAACTGTTTAAAAGATGGAGGGATTTCTTTACACTTCCTGTAAAGGAGGAAAAAAAGAGCAAAATTCAATATCAAAGGAGAGATTTTAAATATAAAGTTAACTGAATACATATTGTTGACTATAAAGCGTCTGGTACCTTACACAGATTTGACCCATTTTATGTTCATGTCATTGTTTATAGTTAAAATCAGTGATTACCACACTTTTTATCCTACACTATACAAGATAATGGAAACAGAGACCTGCAACCAGTCAAACTGCATGGTGATTCACAGTATGGGGGGTTATAAGATAATCAGCTGCATTCATTATCTACCATTATTCTGCTATTGTTTCTAAAATGGTCACAACCTTATGTTCTATAAAGAATATCGCATCGATTGATTGATTGAATTTATTACAGACGATTTCCCTCATAAAACCACATAAACATATTCATTACT